ATGAACGCTACACGGAGACAACGTTGATTTACGGAGGTAATATTGTAATACTTTACATGTGCCGAATTGTCTAATATCATCTGAACGTATTACATAAACACCCTGTAGCACTTCTAGTTTATACTCCACAATTACGTCACAGAATGACTTCCCTGCATGTACGCTAGCTAAAACAGACATCACCTTACAAATTAGCAGGCATCTTACCATTAACATTACATTGAGTGATTAAAACACAGTCTATAACTGGAATGTTCTTTCTTTGTCCTGCTCTTCCCTTGACAGCTTCCTCCCAAACATAAGCATGGCTAACGCGTGAACAATTTTGACTCCCGATCTTGCTGACACCTCTCAGCAATGTGACGGACAATCCACAGGAATTCCATGCACATGACAACAAATAATGTAAATGATCTAAAACAGCAACTATCATTGCCAAAGATTGGTAGATAGTGTGTGTCCACTGCTGTTCTGGGCCCCCCAATTTAACCCCCCTGTACTCGGCATTGGCTGTCCCATCATGTTTCCGCCACCCACACGCATGGCTGACATCTGCTGCTGCATCTGGAAATGTCAAATCAACAAATTTAGTTCCACAAGCAGCTGAGCAAAACACTCCGGTCATAATTTTAGACTGATTTATTTGAAGTACGTCATATTAAAGAAGCGTCTTGAATATAGAAGAAATGGAGCTGACTAATACTCAACTTATGATAGAGAGTGTAAACAACTTTACCAGTAAGTGTATGGGTAAGTGCTTAGAACGAGAGTTGTTATCTTTATTTTGGTAACTGTCTTTTTCCTTGAACTGACAAAGGTTGATGTTATATCAAAGAAAACATTTTTTTCTTCTATTCTTTCTTAAATTGAGCCGAAATCTTGTATGCAGCTTTGTTGTTTTGCCTCTTTATAGACAAGAATTCCATGGAAGATGTCACCTACCCCAAGCTTACCTGGCAGGTGTAAGGAGTTTACCCAAGATGAAGGAATAAAATGCAATAAGTTTTCTGTTACAATTGTATATCATTTTCTATTTTAGCACTGTTTCAAACATTGATGAATTTGCCCTCAACTTGGGTCGAATGTATACTGGGCATGTTTCCAATAATACTTTCAAAAGTTCACAGAAACAACTAGCAAGTCAGATTGCAGCAACCTGATTAAAGGTTTGAGTATATGGCTGAGCATCACCCTTGAGTTTGGGCATTGGGAAGTCCATCTACCAGACAAGTTTCATCAAAATCCTATAATCCCTTCAGAAGATATTGTCTGAAAACAAATCTGAACATAACACAGACTGTAACACCCGATGACGGACAAATTAATTCCCATAATAATTTTGATGTGTTTTGAGGGGACATGAAAATCAGTAAATGTACGAAAAAGAACTTGAAAATCCCATTGAGAACAGGACTGAATTGTTCAGTCATGGTAAGTAAAGGACAAGTCGAGTTGGCTACCTGCTGGAACTGCATCTGTTGCTGCTGCATCTGTTGTGGTTGTTGACCATACATGGCCATATTGCCCTGGGGCATGCCTGCCATCGCCATGTTTCCCTGCTGGGGCATCCCCATCATTCCTGCATACATGTTAGGCTGCTGCTGCTGCTGCTGTTGCTGACAAAGTCAAAGGACCAAGGTTAGTTGTGAAATACAAGGAATAACCTTTACCATGGTATTCCATACTAACTACAAAATTCATCCTTTACATTTTTTATATGTAACCTGTTTGATTACACTTTGACATTGCTATGACAGAAAGCAGCTGGAGCTCAGTGTCTGGAAGACATTTACTGATCAGAAGAACCTGCAAGATCCTATTTGATAGTTGTTATGTGTATAAATTACTTCAGAAGTGATGTTTCTAATAGATCGGAAAGATGTGATCCAGAAAATAATCCTTTTGTTTTAAATCATCTCATTTCTTTGTGGAGAACACAAACAGTCCCTGGTGAAAACAGATATACTTAGATTGTATTTTGTTTGATAATAATTTATCTGAAGAGATCTTGAAACCAACACAATTTCAATATCCTGAAAAACCTGAGGCATGAATTTGTTTGAAATACCTAAGGCTTGACTTTGTTTGACATACCTGAGGCATGATTTGTTTGACACACATGATGCATGGATTTGTTTGACATACCCGAGGCATGAATTTGTTTGACATACATTT